ATAGCTATTGCTTGAAGAGAAGCAGAGCTCCAGCATTTGCTATGGGCAGAGGGAAGGAACAGAGAAAGAAGGAGCAGCATTGCTTTGCTCTTTCATGACTTTTGCTAAGAGTATTTGAATGCCAACAAAAGCGTCTTCTGCAGTGAACAAACCCTGCACACAGGCAGCGACCCAAGGAGATGAGAGGCAAGGCTACCTCTTCTGCAGAGTCCTTTGCACAGGGCAGTTAATGCTCGTGCTGTCATGCCTGATACTATCAGCTGTGCATCTGAAAAGTGATAAAGGCAGGGTCTTAAGACTGAACTGCAAGTACCCGTGGTCTCTGTGTGCTGTTATCCAATGCGGATATGCTTATGGTATATTCTTTTGGAAACCATACAAGTAATTACATGCTTCTGCATATCCTTATCGAAATTATTCAATGGTGGTGTTCTGCGTGGCTGAACCACCGTGCTGCTCTGTAGCACGGGGAGGTGATTTCAGCTGGTCACAGGAAATGCCTCGGAGAGCCGGTGCGTCACAAAGCACTGCGTGCTGAAACATGCTGCAGAAATTCATGCTAGTGCAAAAATAAGTCTGGCAACATAATTAAACAAGTGGCATGTTTAATGCTCCTGAAATGAAGAAACAAGAAAGGCTGCTGCTGGGCTCACTGTCAGTGACAGAAATGCCTGCGACCCTAAAGAACAGAGAATTAAAGATCTGAGTTGCACGCTGTGCTGGCGACAAGGACCAAATGTAGATGAGAAGATAAGATTATCACCTGGCCCCATTTTACTTATGATCCAGAAGCTGATTTCGAGGATCTGGAAGTGAGAAATTAGTGTGCTAACATTTGGAACTACTGAAAAGTTTTGCTTATCTAAATTTCACTTCATCTGAATTCTGTCCACAGAATAGAAACTAATTTTTTGTACCATCATCTATCTTACACTCAATCCACCCCACCAGCTAGTTGTTAGCTAACTTCAAGCGCGTTTTTACCTGAAGATTTTTGTAGTGAACAGTACTTCTGCAGTGACTTGTCTTTGCCGTCTCTTCATTTGTGTAGAAGAGTCCACAGAGCTTGCAGTAATACCCAGTTCTAGGCACCACAAATTCCACACCTATTGAGAAATTGTGAATTACATTAAAATGTCAGTTGAAACCCTTCCCCTCCACATAAACTTGTTTTCAAATAAAAAAGTTGCTTTCCAGTTAAATGGCATAGATATGAAGACTGAATCCTGGATTCACTTCTCTGATTTCCCTAATTTTGCACTACTGAGCTGCAGTTTAAAATCCTGTGCATCGCACACGTCTTCCACTTCTCTCTTAGATGTTCACATATTTAAAAACGTACCTTCTGACACGTAATATTGACTGGAAGCTTCACTGTGTAACCTCAAGGGCTAGAATAGCAATAGCACTCATTAGCAATAAATTCATGCTCAAGTTACACAGATTGCTCTTTAGAACCTACTTCTTCCAGGTGTTTTACTCATGATCAATATTTACACAGTAAAATCAATACTTTTGCTTATACTGAGAGTATAATCGCTACTTTTATGACCAAGACTTCTAAATTACTAAGCATTTTTCATATACAGTCCAAGGGAAGTTATTTAATCTCATCAGTGACATTAACAGATATCTTTTGCCATTCATCTGGAATGAAATTAATGATGATCTATAATCAAAAGCCCATTTCTTTCAACAGTTGCCCCTCTGTCATATACCCTGTTCCTTCATCTTCCTCACATCTGTTCTGAAACATAAATATAGCAAGTAGCCTTAAAGTGACATCTTGTTGTAAGCTCTGGGTATTGCAGTGGGTGGCACTGCAGGCCGAGGGTGGCCTGGGCATCCGAACGTACCCAGGGGAATGCTGAGCTCGGTGAAGACGTCCTCTTGTTCCCAGCCTGGTGGAGAGTGCCTTCTTTTAGACTCTATCTCCGGGTATTCCAGAGATCTCATTTCCAGGTACCTAGAATTTGCTTAACAAATGAATAAATGTATTGAATGAAAACAGTTTATTAGTTTAAAGAGATGTTTGTAAACTTCTTCGGAACACTTTCTGGGTGGATCTATAAATGAAGGAGAATCTGGAAAAAAATGTTTTTCCATTCAAATCAGAGGTCTACTCAATGCAACTCCAACAGCTGTACTACACTGTGCAGTCACTTCTATTTCTCCCAGTAGATAATTTTTCTATGTCTAATTTCACATTCATTATGTTTTTTTGTTACGTATTTTAAACTTTAAATAGCTCCACAATATTATACATGCCTCTGGCACAAGCCTGCTCAGACTGCAGCTCCATAACCACGTAGTGTACTGCATGACCAGTGATGGAGCTGGGCTAACACAGGGGTTGCTAAGAAAGTGGGGGACAGCAGGACCTTATGAGAGCAAAACCCCAAACTGTCTACGGAGCTGCATGGGCAAAGCAAACCTTCCTCTGGTAGGATCCCTGAAGCACCATTCTCATCTTCTCCCTGGAGCCACTCTGTTCCCATCCTCAGCTCTCCAAAGGATAGTTTCTGCTTTACGGTTCTTGGCCACTTGAAGGTTTTGGTTCCTGGCCAGTAGGGATGGGATAGTTGGTCTCTACTGACCAACATTAATGGACACAGGCAGGAGATTCAAGATGTGGACTGATTTGCTGAGGCAGATAAATCCAGTCAAAAGAACGGATGCTCTCCCTTCCCAACATGTGAATTGTTTTTATTTTTAAAAAATATATTTGTTATCACAGAGCAACAGAATTATAGGTAAACTGGTCTGATTCCTATTCTTCAGTTCTCACATCAAAGAACTAGTTCCCTTACGCTAACAAAATTCCTATTGCATTGCAAATTTAACCTAGATAAGGGATATATTTTCTCATAAAACAAATATATTTTTGCCCAAACCAAACCCTTCCTGCCTTTCAGGTCTGTAGTTCAAAGCTCTGCAATTTCTGGCTATGAGGAAGAATTTTTATTCATTGTTTTAAATACATCTATTATATGATTTAAAATAAAATAATACAAAATCTGGACTGGTTGGCTTTCAAGTTAACTGTGAGCCCACCCCAGGTTTCCAAATCTGCAGCAGAGATCCTGGAAAACCCACAAGCTTCAGTTGGCTGTTCTTAAGACATGCAACTTAAGTCCCACTTAAGTTGATTTCCGAGCTGGCAGCTGCATTTGCAGAGAGTCTAGAGCCCAGAGCCCAGATATCAAGTCTGTGGCAGAAACCTGGGAAGCACAAGCTCCCCTGGAGCTTCCAGGCTCCCTGCTGGCAAGTTGGAAGCTGAGATGCTGAAAACACCGAAGTAACTATGATCTTGGGATACCCAACTCTTTCATCAGCTGGCTGCCCATCAAGTGGGCAGCCCAGGGGAGCCAACCTTGCTGTTCCCAGTCTCAGGAAGCTTGCATGGCAGTGTTATCTCCAAATATGCAAAGCCTGGCAAGGTGTCTTCAGGCCAAACAGGTAAGTACTGAAAGTTGAGCAAGTTTCAAATCTGTCCTGGAGGAAGAAGCTAGTTCTAAATCAGACATTCACATTCAATGCTCCAGCATTTTCTGGTGGAAAATTGCACCCTGAAAAATCTTCCGGCAACTTCTGTTCACAAACCCTTCTCCACCACATGGACTCTAGTAACAACATAAAAGAGCATTCCTAGTGAACATGCTCTATGTTGTTTTCCACTTCCCCTCATTATACACAGCCCATTCGCTCAAGTTTCATTTGAAAGTGTGACGAGGAACTGAACTCACTTTCAGACACTCGAGATCTCTTTTTTCCTGACAGCTAAAATATTAATAGGCAGCTATGATTACATTTATTGGCATTATCCCACAGCATGTCCTATCAGTTATATTAAAGGCAGCATGCGGTAGATAACAGGAGATGACGAGGCAAGTTCTGACAAAAAGCATGTATTTGCATGAACAAGGACTGAGAAGTAACAAAACTACGGATGATTTCCATGTTACTAACGCTTCAGTACAGTGTGTAAGAATATACACTCTGTCCAGGAGCCAGCCAGACATTACAGATACTTCTCCGTTGACCTTCAGAGACTATCACTCATTTCATTGACAATTCAAAATAAATTTAGCAGGGGAAGGAGTTCAGCTAAACTCATGTGAACCTTGACATGACAATTATAGCAGCTTATGCCTTTCAGAAAGCTTGCAAGCTGCTTATCATATTTCCTTTACACTATTCAGCTAAGAGCCTCTAATGGTTTAGCTTGGCAAAAGGCACTGGGGTTCTTTTACTGAGCTGCTCCAAGGACATGTCTTGATACTGTTAGCAACATTTATTCCTGTTAGCAATAAATTTCAGTGTACTGTTAGAGAAAACACACAAGGCGCTCTGTGGGCTGAAAAGAAAAAAAAACAGTAGTTACCCTTGGCCTCTGGACACTCTTGGCTTCCGTGTCTTGTTTCTTCACTAGCGTTTTTAACAAGCATTCCCATAACTTCTCTGCTCTCAGCTCCTTGTGATCCCATCTGTTTGTAATCATCTATAAATGTATCAGGGAGCTGGAGAGTCTCTTCTTTCAGATGAACAGAAGGTATATGGTGATCTTCGGGCTCTAAGCAAGTGTCAGAGCTCTTATCAATTTTTCCTTCCTTTTGCTGGGGATCAGACTCCTTAGCAGATTGGTCTTCTTGCAATTCCTCTGGCTTCTGCTCAGCGTCCAGATTTAGGCTTGATGCTTCAGTTACAGCATCATCATTATCATTATCATCCTCATCATCCTGGCAGCCGCTAGAAGCTACACTGCTCTTTGCTGATCTGAAGTTTGTTTCTAAAGCTTTATGGGCAAATTTATCTTCACTCTTCAATAAGTGGCTGTGATCGTTTTTGAGTTCTAACATGGTTGACATACAGGGACACATTTCTGAAGCAGTTTTATTTTTTTGATCAACTGGTACTATTTCTTCAAGCTCAGTTATGTCAGGCTCCATAATTAAATCATCTTCTCCCACTTCATCTACTGTCACTAGCTCCTCCATGTTAGCAGGATACCAGGTCTCACCTTCTATCTCACTTCCACTCTCCCAGTCTCGGTCCTGTCAGAAAGATGCAAAACATTTGAGAGATCAGTGATTATAGAGCATCACTGTTAAAAAGTGGGCTTTGAACATCAGCAACCACGAAGAACTTTGATCTGGTCATGCTTACCCCCTCTTGTATTTTAGTTTCAAAGAACAATACGCCTTGGTGTTGTGATTTTAAACCTTATGCACAAAGACAGGCAATTTCTTTTTAATTATCACATAAACTTCACTTTGCAGAGATCCTGTAACTGTCTTGGGGATTACAGTCTCTCCAGTCTCCTGCTTCTTAACTTTTCTGTAAGCAGCTGAACAAGGCACAACCTGTTATATTTTGTTATGCAACTGATACTACTATGTGATCCCCAAGGAAATGAACCTCTCCCCGTCCTCTACCGCCATCCCAGGGTGCCAAGAAATAGGCAACATAATGACAAGATACTGAACCCCAGCCTAGCCACTATGGCTTTCACTTTGCTGGACTGGGTCCTTTAAATTCCTACAGTGACTGAGAAAATGTGGGTACCTTATGTAGCAATTTCCTCCCACCAGCAAGAGCCCTCTGCTAGGGACTGTGTTGGTAGAGATTGGCCTAGACCTTAAGAAAAATCAGTTCTACAGTTATACTCCAAGACACATAATGTGAAATATCTCAAACATGCAGTTATAGACTTATAAGACTCAGACATTAATATTGGACTTCAGAAGTATTGGAATTATAAGGTATATGTTACTTCTAAGCCACACTTTACAGCTTAGATTCCAACTCCCAGACTCATCATGTACACATAATCTATTAATAATCTGTATTCTCCTCCTGTTTGGCCATTCCCACACTTCTCCTCTTAGAATACTAAAACAGCATGAAAACTCTGGGAGTTGACACTGTTCTTGCCAGGAGATCAGTTTCCTAAAGCAACAGATATCAATAGCTTCCATATCTGATCATCAACCCATGACCCTACAGATATGAAGCTGGAGGAATTCCAAGAACATTGCTGTCCCTGACTGTGATGCTGCAGTAGAGGTGCTGTAAAGACATTATTTAATTAAAACCAGAAACAATCAGAAGAGGCTACTATCTATAGTCCATCTAAGGCCAATCTTCTGAAAAGTTTTCATCATTAGTCCCCTCCTGCTCCACTAACCGACTGCATCTCCTATTTTTGGGCACGGTTCACAAATCTACACAGTTCACTTGGGCGTACGTTACTTAAAGCTGTCGGTGCCAAGGGATATGCATGTGAAGCAATGTACATGGGCAAAGAGCAACTAAATAAAGAGTTCTGGAGACTTCAGGAAAAGTTATCCCTTAAAGCAGAGGTCAGGACAAGGCAAGTTAATTTAGACAACCCCCTTCTACAACCCCTTTACATGCCTTTCCGTGAGAGTTTAATATATCAGTTGGGAGAATGTGCTACCAAACCTGGGTTTTCACTTATTTTGTCATGGAAGCTCCAACAACACTGTGTCACCAACCTTCTCTTTTCTTGTGTTTTCCAGAATCTCTCCAGATTCTTTTCCTTGTTTATTAGCTGAAGGCGAGCTCTTCTCTGGAACTTGCTCTTCTTTTCCAAGCTAAAATAAATACAACATATACATGTATAGCCACACACAGTGGTGCTCTAGTATGTTTCTATTCTGGGCTTAAGGAAGCAAAGTCACTCACAAGGTCACGTTCTTTATTTCTAAAGTTTGTGCAAGTCAACTAGGCTGTGGGAAAAGACCCAACAATTGGATTCCATTAGTAAATCTGCACAGTAAGAATTAAGAAAAATAAATTTAATCAAAATTAGAGAGATAGAATTGGCTAGAAGACAGGTGGGGAGAATGTGAATTTGTTAAAATTTCCAGCCTCCACTCCTCTGTTCTCTACCCACATCTGTTATGTTGGCTCAGACATGGTAAGGAGAGCAGCACTGTTAAAACTCTGCAGAAGACCTTAACTGTTTTGTTTATTGATGTAGGATCAGTCAAGAATGCAACTGCTTGCACAGTTCATACTTTGGAAGAACAAAACCACAGTACTACCTGGCCTTTCGTAAAAGAGGGGTGAAGCAAAAGCGTGAGTTCAAGACATTAAAACCTATTTCTTCCTTTTAAAATAAATTATTAGCACTAGTCCCTGGAGACATATGCCTTTAACAAAGCCATTTTAAAATAACTTGAAAAACATGCAGAGGAGTGTGCAACACTGGTGATTTAAGATGCTGTCTGACATTTCTCTCTGACATCTCCTCCCAAGAAACCATCCATCACAGTGAAATACCAGCCAAAGGAGAAGGATGACAAAAGGTGGTACAGACTCACATATCTATGGCATGAGGTAGTGCTGCTGCTGCCTGTTACGGAGACTAGCTGAGTTACAAGATCTAGAGATTTCCACCACCCTTTCCCCCACATCAGAAGAAAGAATGCAAGGTCAACTGAAAACAACCAAAGAGGGCCCTGGCAGCACAAAGTCACAAGCTAGAGATGGACCCCTGACCCCCAGTCAGCAAAGCAGCTCTGCAGCCTCCTGTGCCAGCATCCCCGGGGCTGGATAGCAGCAGTGTATCACCAGGGGGCACTGGGGGAGGCAAGGTGGCCAAGAGCCAGTTACAAGATCCTAAAAGGTTGGGGATACGAGTATGGGCTGTACTGGGACTGAGCAAATGAGGCATCTTGATCTGTTCCCTCTCTGCTTTTTCCCAGTTGAGAAACAAACCCACAAATGCTGCCACTTTACTGACTGGGAGTATTTCTCCAGAGATCACATAATTTTACAGGTGAGCTGATTCAATGGTTCTGCCATGGGAAGAGATTCCTGCCAGCACGTTGAAGGGAGTGGTGTGAATTATCCCTGCCATAGCTGAGGGTAAGGACATATGATTAATAGAAATCAGTTGCTTTGTTGAGTTCACCAAAAAGAAAATATTCCTCATTAAAAGTTCATTCCCCATTTTAGCAGTATAACAATCAGTTCCCTGTATTGTCCTACAAATATTGCGCAACCTTATAAAATGCCATTTAATTCCCCAATAACTCAATCCACATCACAGGCAGTGGAAGGAGGTGATGGATGCAGAGAGAGCAGCTATGGGGTATTCTGCACAGACTTAGAAGAGAGCAGTAGGGCAGTTGCCCCTGCACACACAACCTGCATGCAAACAGCACACTGTCACTGGGTTTTGTATCAGTTGTCTGTGTCCGTCCTCTCACCGGTTACTCAGAGGTCCTGTGCTTGACTCAGAAAGACAAAGTCCATGTACCCAACACCACAACGGTGTAATAGATCTGTAATAGATTTGGGCAAAGACAAGGAGGAGATGACCTTCTGAGATCTCTTCTAGGACTATATTCCCTGATTTTATCATGGCAAAACATCGCATGTCACCAGCTCCACACCCACAGCTACTTATCTAAAATATTTCAGAAAAAAATATTACTTCAGCATTTACCTTCTTCTTATGCAGTTTGAGGTCTCTACTTACCTCATTCTCGGGAGGTTTGGTTTCCTTCACATCGCTGCCTTCAGCGGCAGCATCTTCCTCTTGGTCTTTTTCAGCTTTCTTCATCTTATTCTTGTCACTTTGTTTTTGCCTGGAGCTCTCTGACGCTTTGCTGTGCTTCTGCTCAGCCACCTCCTCCCTGGCAGCGTCCTCGCTGTAAGAATGCCTACGTTCCCTTAACTTTGCCTCTTCCTTTCTCTTAGATCTTCCAGGTAAATCCTGCAGCTGCCTCTGAAACTTGTCAGATTTTGACTTAGAGGTTTTTCTGTAATAGTCATCTTCCCTGCTCTTGTAGCCAGATAAAGGGTGAAGGGAGCCAGGGGAACCACTCCGTAAATATTTTTCTCTGTGCCCTCTGCCTCCTTCAATCCATTCATCCAAATCAAACTTGTCCAGCTGTCGGGAATAATGTTTCCTCTCATGTACCCATGTGTCAGTCCTGTCTCTCTTCTCATCCCCGTTCTCTCGCCATTCTCTGCTGTCTCTTTCCTCTTCTCTCCGAGAATATGGAGACTGATCCCAGGACTCTCTTCCATTTCCCCAGTCGGTCCTGCTGGTCCCCACCGGGCTGTGGGGTGAACTGCAGGATGTAAAGCTGGGAGTGTGGGATCGGGGTGACAGGGAGCGGCTTATGGGGCTGCGAGAGCGAGGCCTGTCTGTGCCATACCTGCTGCAAAGGGAAAAGGCAGCTGTAACTGGCTGACCCACGGTGGTCTACCAAGTTCTTGTACACTGGAAAGACATGGGGACTGCCCTGGTGTCTGCCAACCTGAGACCCCAGGACTTTCATAGACATGCACTGCACAGCTCCAAACACAGCGAACAGGAGAAAAGGCAGGGTCACGTCCACAGAGCTTAACTAAATCCCCACAGATCTGTCAAGAACATATTCAGTCATTCTTAAAAGTGTCTCATAGAGGTTTAACATTAAAAGCTTACGATATGTTGATACCTTTACGATACCCTAATGTCTGTACCCTTAATACTCACTCATCTAGGGCATCTCTGAGACAAAAGTGACAAAGGTCACCTGCTTAAAAGAGATGTTTTAGGACTGTGATTCCTCTCCATTTTTGCTGGAAGGTCCAGAAGTCAGGCAGATCAGAAATATACCCAAATACATTTTAATCTGAATTGGCTTCTTCCCACTAGGTCTTGCAGCACCTCCAGCCTTTATGCTTTTCACACAAGGGGCAGGAGAGGGGAATAGCTTCATTTGTCTGTTGTTCACATGCTAGGCGTATTTTCTGAGTCATGATCAACAGTAGGAAAGAGTTCATTTATTTTCATAATATGCACAGTTTAAATCTGATCTCATTATATAGGCCCTGTACCTACTATTGTACCCACTTATATTTTTACAGTGATTTGAAGTGAAATCCAAATTAAGAAAGCAAATGAGGTAAGAGAGGGAAACACACAGACAATGCTTTTACTACGTGCAGGTTTACAGACTTATCTGGGTCCCAGTTCCACACTATGGAGAAACTTTACCTGTCCACTTCACGCAGCAGGTCCCTCTCCCTCTGCGAGTGGATGTCCTGGATGATTGCAGCCACATTCTTACCTGGTTTCTAAATAAGACAAACACACTGTTTAGCATGCTGCACTACTCTCCAAGCTAATAGAGGTGAATTTTCCTCCAAGAAACAGCATCCATGCCTCATTCAATCATACTATCACTGAGAAATACTTGCTTTCAGTGTTGTGGTTACAGTCTTTTCTGCAGCTGGTATCTCAATAACATGATCAAAGCAGTAAAACGATACAAATGGAAAATCTGCTCCATTACATTGTAGCACTGTCTCCTCATACTTGGCTGCTGTAACAGGCTTTGAAAACTAGCTTGTTCTTCCCTGTTACACATTCACTACAGAGTGTTTTCTAGGAATGGGATGTAAGAGGAAGCAAACCAGACAATTTTTCTAATATCCAAATTAAATATGTATAGCAGCCTATCTCTGACCCTTTAGGAATGAACTGCTTTCTCTTTATCTCAGAGTTTAGTTCATTCTGCAGTATAGGGCTAAAAGACTATGTTTAGAGACAAGAGCTTCAGAAAACCTAAGTGCAAGAAAGATGCGTACTGGAAGTGTTGATTACTTGAGACTCAAGATCATTTACAAAAGATGCACTACTCCAGGCTGGAGTGCACGCAATTAGTCAAACACTTGGCGCATACACAGCTGAGCAACATAATCGTGTAGGAACTCAGAGCAGTTTGTAGTGGCAAATAGCTGATGCATATTCCCCCTTCCATGTTGCACTTTTGTTTGTTTTTAACAAAGAGAAAGGTTTTTTTTCTCGTGCAGAGAAAAATAATTGCATGATCTGAAAAATTGCCATTGGAAAGGCTGAAAATCTTCCTGGAATCTAGGCAAACTACCACACTCTCCTGTGTAATTCCTGCTCTGCTTCTACGTTAAAATGCACAGTCTCTGCCACCTTATGTCGGAACCTCTCACCGTACCACACTAAGACAGGCTGCCCTGGTTTATGAATTTTGGCAATTCCTTTATGTCTCCTTAAACTGTTATACATGTACAGGAGAGAAAGAAACTTTTCGAAAGGTCAAACCAAACCATCTGAGTTACTTGTTTTTCCTCAAGGCTCATAAAAGACCCCTTAACCTGTTAACTTGGAACATTACATAGCTATTTTATAAAATAACTTTGTGCTGTGTTAGATAATACAATATGGAACTTTCCAGTTCTGCATTGCCAGTTCCAGTCCATGTCTCCATGAAAAAAAACCTCTCTTAGCATTACTCGTGGCAGCACATAAGCTTCCATAAATATGTTCACAAAAGCACTGATTTTTGGACATCAAGCAAGTGTCCACATCAGAAGTGTCACACACTCAACAGAAAGCCCAAAGCTCTGCTCTGACTCCATATGAAAAAAAAAATAATAAAAAATCTTGCTTTTTAATTTAGGTCATCCACAAGAAAGAAAGAAAAAGCAATCAGTGTGAGGTTTAGCCCTGCCATTGCTGCTTGGTGTAGAGACTGTACTATGACTCAGGCATGCAAGAAGTGAAAAGCATTCCTTCAGGCTTACTGCCTGACTAAAGAACAGGACCATCTTATTTTTGCTGACATGTTGTATCTTACACATGGCTGTGTTTTACCATTGTTAGACCAAGCAATGTGGGGAGCCCGCTCAGAAGGGATTTTTGAAATAACGGTATGAAAGGACCAGAGAAAATGGGATGTCTTGCAAGAGCTAAGATTTAGAACAAAAGCAAGCAGCTAAGTATAAAAGATTGTTAACATACCTTCATTAATTTATCTTTCTTAATTTCTTTTTCCATAATATTAAAGCATTAATTAGAAATCAGTAATCAGCAAAGATTTTCAGATGTATTCTCCAGGATGTGCCACAGAAACTCAGGAAATCTAATCAGGAACGACTATCTTACCTTCAGCTGCAATTCCTTGTATCTTTTTGACATCCTAATAAGTAACTTGTCATCATTTATCATAGCAGGTTTTTCCTTGTAGTACTGCACCATGGCTTGGGCTGCTTCACTGTAAGCCATTTCCAGAAAGGCCTAGCACAAATGGGGAGAGCTTTAAAATTTACTACATAATTAAAAATACAAAGTATAAGAGAGAAAATGCAGCACAATAGTTTTCATTTGGATTCTTCTCATGCAAAATGTCTTGATAGTACAGAACTAGGTAAATTTTCAGCGCTAGAGTAGAAATAGAAACAGTCCATTTCTCCATCTCCTTTTAACTGTAAATAATGGTTTCAACTCAGCTATTAAACTGATATGCAACTTTAGAAGCCATTTTAGTTAAAAACTAAATGTCTGGAATCTAATCCTTCTTGATATACGAAAACATCATCTTTCCCTCACTTCCTCATTGGTGCCTCTACACCATGGTCAGCTGCTGACAGGATGCAGAACTGCAACGCTGCAGCATGCACTGCTCTGAAGATTGTCAGCTGTGTCTTGCAGAATTGCAAAGAATCCAGATAAAAGCATCTGAGCGTGCGCAGCCAGAATAGAGCCAAAAAAAGTGTTTAAAAAACTTCAACGATGTTAACTAGCACTTGTAATTGCATGAAAATTGAATTTGATGTGACTGCAGCTTAACTGGTTGAGAAATATACTCACAGCTGTGTAATGACTGCATTTTGAAACATTACAATCTCAAACATTGCCCACTGGCATAGATTCTACATCCATCTGTACTGTCTGTTGCAGGTATACGAGACAAGATTTTCTACTCTTCCCAGCCTACCACCACTGGTAGACTTAAGCTACTTAAGGTAGACTTAAGCTACCTTGAAGAAAGAGCTCCACTACAATCCAGTGCAGATTAAAAGGGAGTGAGCGAGGTGCAAGTGTCCCCTGCAAAGGCACAGCTTTTCTTTATCATGTATGCGCCAGATCACCCAGCACAGCCGTGGCTGGGTGACTGTAATTACACCAACGCAGGAGCTGCCTCTGCTGTAACAACAGTTCAGCAAACAGTGTAGGACAGCCAAACCAGACTAGAGTGCAAGTCTTTCTTCAATGCTCTGTTCAGCTCCACAAGTATGGGTAGGAAAGCAATAAAAACCTGCCAAACAGAACAAAAGAAGTCTGAAAGTAACCCTAACAAATAGGATGAGAGAAGGCAGCCAAGTTGTTGTTGTTGTTGTTGTTATTATTATTATTATTAAAGTTTTACAACACTTCTTCATTGAGATTCCTGGGTTTTTTTAACAAGAACTATGAGGCAATGGTCATGTTTATGCCATCATCTCATTCTGCAAACACCTTTTTTTTTTTGTACTTTAAGAGTAGGCTTCATATATTTAAGTTTCTATTACAAAAAAAGAGATGTTTTCCCCAAAGACTCTGTGTTTATGTCAATATGTCTTCATGTCAATACAGGTGACCCCAAACGCACAGTACCTGATTAGTGGATTTCATGAGGATATAGTTGGTGACCTTCCCAAATGGGAGGCCCAGGTTAATGACATCATTCTCTGTGCAGCTTCCCTCAGGGAGGTTGCAGATGTGAACAACTCGACCCAGTGTAGATTTCCTCTGGGGAAACTGGGGAAGAAAAAACAACTCAAAATGATGTTGCTATCTTAGATATTCCAGCCACTAGATAAGACCTTATATTTCTGCTATAAATGAAATGTTCTGTTCTGCATACTCGTTATTAAGGACAAAAATCCTTCTTTAAAACCTTGTATTTTTACATCCTGGTTTACAAAGACAAATGGGAAGGGAAACATTTAACTGCAGTGCAGCTTGCAATGGAGTTTCCATCTCTGGACATTACAAAGTCCAGAGAGGATTTCTAGAAGAGGTGCTCTTGTTCAAACAGATTTAACAATATTGTTGCAAAAGCTGACTTGTCACCTGAAAGAGAACATCTCAAAAGCCCCACTCTGGGGCTTCAACTCCCTGGCATGTCACAGCAGAGGGCTGGGCTGCTATGGACACAGGCCACTGGACTGTACTCAGCACCAGCAAGAGTTCAGAGGCTCCTCAATGTTTGGAGATGAAGGATGCCTCTGCCATGACGAGGTCTCAGGCCCCTCCTGACGAGCTCCCTGCAGGGCTGGTACCCATCTGATACGCCAGCATGACCCCTACAGTTCCTCTGCCAAGTCACACAGCCTTCCCCAGCCTGTCTGCATCCGTCTGTCCCACTGGAGGCTCTGTGCCTTCCCTGCGCACGAAGGTACCATGCATTGTTGCTGAGTAAAAAGCCCTTAGCAGATAATTCGCAAGCAACGCAAAAAAAATTGTGTTTTCAAGTATTCCATAAATGCCCCTTTATGTGGTGCTGGTGGCGCCTGGAGATTGAAACAGATGCTCACTGCAGTCCTAGCTGAATGTATGGATGTTAGAAATCCATTTAGGTAACTACAGAGGTGTTCAGGACAGCAGCGGCTGAATTTAAATCCTCCTTCTCCCCTGGTGGAACAGACTGTGTCGGGAGTAAAAATGACGCCGTTTAACTTGTGAGAGGGCACATAGCTGTTCCTCAGGTTGGAAAATCTACTACTTTCCCCTCTCATTGCAACAACACACAGTAGGAGGGACTTTTCCTCTGCGGCATGGTGACGACTGGACATGCAGAGAGGCTGAGGTTTCAAATTGGGCTGGCGCAGGCACACGGCCACCGGTGCAGTAATCGCTTCCCAAGTTAAAGAAGTGCCAAAAGTCTAGAGGTAAGGTATTTTCTTTAGCAGAAAAATAACAAAGACCTGGTCCCGAAAAAGATGAAACAACTCAACTCCACTTGAATAGGAAAGTGACAGCTGTGTGCATCTGGCAAAGGCAGCATGTAGCGCACAACAGAAGAACACAACTACAGCTAGCAGGGGAAAAGGAAACCTTCCTGACAGCAAATGCAGTCCCAGTGTAGGAACACTCCAGGTCACCCGGCACCTTCTGTTTGTTTTGTTAGATCTGTTAAGAGATGATATGTTAAGAGTTTATCGGACTAGAAAGACTTAGCTGTTCCCTACGTAGGCTCCAGCGCCCGTGTTCAGACACGTGCTCAGCAGTACATTAAATCAAACGACTGTAAAACGTTACCACCTCCTCACAATTGGCAATGGCTTAAATTAAAGTGCTACGCCATAAATCTGCTGCAATTCATGATTAAGAAGTGGTCACATACTCATACCAGAAGTCGATGGGCTGTACCAAGCAATAATCTTGTCAGCTGATTGAAGTTAAATTGGATACATTCATCAAATAGAGCTGTAAATCACAGCCAGAAAAGGAATATACACCTTCCATATCCATGGTCTGGAAGTTAGAGGAGCTGCTGTGTGTCAAGCACTGAATGTAATTTTCAATAAGACTCCAAGTTAACTTTCTTTGCAACCGATGTCCACAGGAGTTTGCCATTGCAGCTGGACAACTACTACAACGATAATTTGATGCACAGAAGTTAAATGCACCTCATACGGTGTGCCATATTATTTCACCAATCCAATTTGGTTATTTTTTCTTACAGCTTTTTTAAAAATTGTTTTTGTTTCTTGCTTTTCAAATTCTTTATCCCTTTCTTGAGCTTCACATGAATCTTTTCTAAAGATAATCAGAAACTGACAGTCCCATCCCTCCAGTGCTAATGGCTTTCCATGCCCGAGTGAAGACTTGTAGCACTGTATTTGCCTTTTGAAGAGGGAGTTATTTGCAGATGGATAGCACAGAGCAAGCTCTTCCAGAAATCTGAACACTTTGTTTATGATTACATGCAGGGTCAAGTATAATCTCCCGCTGCTCAGTTAAATGGCAGCAGCTTAGCTGAAAGTGAATACTACCGTGCAAAGGTGTCATAAATTATAAGCCACCTGGGTTGTGGGGTGAATGACAGCTGGCAAACTCCATCTTAACACCTCTAATACAGGTCCCTGTCCACCTGATGAGCTTTTGAAGAAAAAGAGGATTTACAGTGCCCAGGAAAATCAAAGTTATTGTTTCTTTTATCTCTCATAGTACTGCAGGTCATTCAGAAGGAGGACTTCTGCAGGCAGCTTAAATGATAAATAGTGACAAATTCTAAGGAGAAATGATACTGGTATTAGCAGTAATTTCATTTGTTGCGAGGCTGACAGACATGATGAAAAGGAACATTCCTTTGCGCCCGCTGCTACTCCACCTCTGACCTTGGAGACAGCCGTCAGGAGCAGCTCTGCTCTTTGCTCCCATGTACCCACAGTGTCTGTGACAGGCAGAAGCTAAAACCCGTTCAAAGAACCTCTCTCGCAGCAAAACCACACAGTAGAAAATTGGTTGGATTAAACAAATCCGGGTGACGTTTCTGCAAGCAATGCCTAATGAGAACTGGAGTGGCACAGGGACAAAACTCAGCCTGGGTTTCCAGGGTGTCTGAGACCACATCAGGATATACACACAAAAGCTAACAAGGCTTGAACTTGAACCCCTGGATTACTACTGCTATTCCATGAATGCTCTAACATGAGTTCTCGATGCCTCCAGCTTTAACCGTAGCTTTCTGATACATGTTGAGCTTCAGTTTAGCTCTAACAACTTTCTATTTGCTTTCATTTGCCTTTTTTTTCTTTTTTTTTTTTTTTTCCTTTTAAAATCTTTCTGCTTTGTCAATGTAGGAACCACTTTCAAGGCTATCTTTTTTTCCAGGCATTTTTTGATTACTGGGCTAGAAATTCAAGTGTGCTTTACAGCAGTATAACTGGGGACCTGCATTGAATGCTGGTGGGGCAAATAAACCTAAACCATGGAAGGCTGTTCTTCAAAGTAAACTTGCTGAAAGGTTACAAGTGGCAGCAGAGGATACAAATAGCACATTAAAATAAACTAAGAAAAAGCTAGTCCAGCATAATGAATTGATCTGGGACCCCCAGGTGAGTAACAGCGAAGCTGCAGCCACTGTCTTGGCCACTATTGCTACTTGGGAGAAGGGCTCCAGCATGAGATAGGCAGAGAGCAATTGCTACAAATAAATAACTGGAAAGATGGCAGGCTGCTTGCTGGGATCGATACTCAAGAGTAAGTAAAAACTAATACAAATCCTCATTCCGAGCTGAAGCTGACCTTCCTGGGTTGAAAAGATTCAGTAAATGGGTGGAAAAAGTCAATTGGATACACACAAAACCATTTACACCCCTCCCAGAATCTCTTTAACAAGCAGACAACTTTTAGCACTGGAAAAAACAACTACAATCAAGTTCTGATTTAGCCAAAATAAAAAGCATAAAAGAGCTGCAGGGAAGTTGAAATAACAGACTGAGTATTCAGATTATTGTCTAAAAGGAAGCCTTCACGGTTTTAATTTCAGTAAGCAGAAGTGGCTTCTACAAGAATCTCGACATGGAGATCAATTTGCTTAGGTACTCACTCTTACCCCTGATGGAGGAGAAGAAAATGTAGGACCTGGCTGGCCAAAGGATCTTGCTGACGTAGTGATAAAAGATGAGCCGACATTTGGTGGATAATCTAAATAATGGATTACATACATTTCATGAAAATCTTGACTCATATTTAATTGCGTTAGCATGCTCAGTAAGCAACGCCCTATTTACATAATAATTAATTTCATAGTCTCTACACCAAACTATACACTGTTTTGTTGTACTATGGAAAGAAGTCATTGTCTGAAAGAAAAATAAATTCATACTTTGAAAGTCACAGTGTTGGCTTGTAGCCTTTCTATGCACAACCTCTAAAAAGTTTTCCTTGGAAGCTTGTATCACAGTTCATTTAAAATATCAACTTTTCCCCAGAGACTGACTTCCCTTTCAATTAAAAAAAAAAGTGGTTTTAACTATTACACATGCAACCATTCACCTTCGATACTAGACGGATTGAAAACCGCTGCATTATTTGGCGATAAATGCAATGTTCCATCTGCTGAGTTTAACACACACCGGATACCAGTGCTGGAAAAGAAAGAAAAGAACTTTAGGAGTATGTACAATGTGCCATAAATATTAAATCATAATTATTAGACAGTAAATTCCCAGTGTACAGCCACTGAAGTAAGGGATGCTCTGTTAGAAATTCAGTTGGAGGAGTGTCTCTAAAATAATACTTACTTATCTGAAAAAGCCATACATTTTTGGATGTGAAGACTTCCCTTAATGTGCTGATCCCAGTCCTACGTTGAAACAAAGAGATGATGAGCATAGGAAAAATCCTGAGCGAAATTTACAAGAGATTGCTTCTCCATTCAGTTTACCTTTCTAAAAACAACACTGAGATGCTGAAGATCAAACTGTGTGATGCTGGAGCCAAGCTCACCTTCATCCACTGCATTTGCTGATTCATTATCAGTTAGTTTACAAAAGGAGAGGTTCTCTGTATTAGTTTTTAAATCCAGTATATTTCTACTCATCCAGTTACTTCACTCTAGCTGAAGAGCTCCTCCTACAAGGTGTCCACCATGAAGGTGCTCAGCACACAGGGCAGCCCGGACAAGGCTGACTCACTTCAATAGATTCACAACATTTGTCAAAGTACACTTAGCTATTTATACTTCCGTGATCCAAAGGAGGCAGCGTACTGAACACTAACAAACAGACCAACCGAAACTCACTATAATAACGTTTTTCCTGCCCCTTTAAAATGTTTAATGAAAAAAAGAAATGCTCAGCATGCCTTAGATGGGGGTTACTTCAGACAAGTCCTGTAGCTGCAGTAACCACAGCAAACCCTTTTGCGAACAGCTCCACAAAGTGTAAAAGGGAAACATGAAAGACCAAATATATTCGAATATCTCAAAACCCCGGGGCGTGTAAGTTTCAGGTGCTGTTTCATTTGCTGGCCACCTTCCTTCCTATCTACATGCTGTTATAACGCTTCTGTCAGGCTACCACTGGTGTGAAAACAGATGCCTTTGTGGTTAGGTGCCGGTCCGGCGATGCGACAGAAGAGGCCATGAGGACTTGTTGAGTGGGGCTCAGCGGGAGGCCAGAACATCGCCAGTCAGCACCCGCGTACGGCTGTGGGGCTCAAAGGCTTCTCCAGATCTGAGCTATATAACGTGACCTAAGCACACAGGCTCTCTGGGCAACCGGGAAGCTTCTTCTCCAGGGCGAGGTTGAATTTGGAGCTCCCTTGGCAGTATGAGCGGAGAAGTGGGAGTGTGGTCTGCACTACACATGCTGAGCAGCTTCTTGCATCCAGGCCAAAGTTGCTGGGGACCCCGAGTCCTAAATTTTCCTTAGAGCTACTAGAACGAGGAAGAGATCCCAACAGAGGAATTATTAAAATCATTTTATCAAAATGTGGTGTTTTGTTTAAGCAAGCTGTTTCCACAAGGCTGTTAGGAAGAAGCCTTCATGATCAGAAACACCAAGAGAAGGGGAGAGGCAGAGAAAACCGCAAACGCGGTTACAATGCCATCCTGAGAAGCAGGGGATCAGCTTCCAGCTCCTCCTCCCCTCGCTCTGGGCCCGTGAGAAGAGCTGCGACCCCGGCCTGGACCTCACGTTTCTCAGCCACGCCAGCGCTGTAAGCTTGCAGCGAGACGTGAAACAAAACCAGATCTCAAAACCCCAGTAATTGCCATGAAACAGACACACGACCGACACTCGGAGCAAAACTACAGCCCTTTGTTTCCGCTTCTCTCCGGGCACCTCTGCGGTGACGGACGCTGGCGGCAAGGGGCGGCGGGAGCCGGCGGCCA